ATGGGGAAGTCAAATAGAACCAGTGTAGTAGAATATATTATGTTTCTGAAGCTGTTGCTTTGGTCTACGAGTTCAGTGCCAATTTTTTTATATAAAATAAAACGAAACAACGCGACAGATAACATATTTTCATGATATAAAAATGAAACATCCATAAAAAACAAACAAAAAACATGAGATTGTCAGAAAGGAAACCAAGCACTCGACGAGGATTAACGAAAATCTCGAAAACACAACTAAGTATATCCAGTGAGTGACTTGTATGGTGCTAACACAATCATCTATACAGAACAAAGTATACCCTTCAGCTGTACATGTCCCTCTGTGATCTTAGTATCTTTCATAACATAAATGCAAGAGTTATTCTAACCATCAGAAACAAGGTCAAGGTTTACCCTGCCCAACAGGCGGGTGTCACTTTACTCTTGGGGTCCAATTTTCATTACATCAGAGGATCAGAGAAATGATATGGGTATTATTGAAAAGTGATGTGTACGTGGAACGAATCCAGGAAAAAAGTCACAAGAAAAAATCACATAAAAAGGCACGGAAAAACCTAACTTAACCTACGTGCAATGCCATCATATATATAGTGTGTGTTGTCAATGTGTACAAGTCATGTGACTTTTTTCCTGCAGACATTATTTGTCCACCCGTGGAACATAATTTTCTTCCTTCTAATATATAGACGACCAGATGTCTTGGGTTTACTTCTTTACATATCACTACCAAGATTAAATTAAATAGGCCATAGAATATTTTACTTTATTTGTATATGAAATTAAATCGTGTAACTAATATATATATATATATATATATATATATATATATATATATATATATATATATATATATATATATATATATATATATATATATATATATATATATATATATATATATATATATATATATATATATATATATGCATACAAATAAAAGAGAAAGATAGAAACAGAGAGGAGGTAAGTGGATTTGTATGTAGGTTTTCCACGTCGCTGTCAACAGTCACACATGCAACTCACCACAGCAGTACACAGTAACCATCAACACCACTTTAATACTCCATGTGTGTACAGTATATGTGCTCCCATACTGATCTCTGGTTACAATGTTCAGTCTAACTAGTTCATATCCTAAGAGAAGACAATATCGCTGTATATCCCATATGAAAGACAATGTAAAAAAATTGAGACATTAATGAATAAAATTTTGTTACAGGAGGCTTACCTCCACCTCACCCCGCCCGAAAACAACCTATTCACAACACAACTGCTAGATACTGTACCTAGCTTATATTTCTAATAAGAAGGGTTATGAGTCCGTTATGTTGTTCAGTTATAAATTGTGTAACTACTTTGATAATTGTTTCAAACACAGAATGCAAAGCATTGACTTGTCTTCTCTCTTAAGCAGGTCTGTTCTCGGTGCTGTCATTGTATACAGCCTTAACAACATCAACCTAGAGAAGTCGACTTGTGAAAGAGACCTAGGGTATTGTAAGCCCGGACCTACGGCCTAGAAAACAGTGCGTTAATGTTCGAAATAAGGCAAACAGAGTTTTGGTTTTATATCTAGAAGTGTAAGTAATAAGAGTGCAGAGGTCTTATTGCAACTATATCTTGCGCTAGTCACGCCGCACCTCGATTATGCGGTTCAGTTCTGGTCCCTTATTATAGAATGGATATCAATTCACTAGAGTCGGTGCAGCGAAGAATGACGAAAATGATTCCGACTTAGAAACCTTCCATATCAGGATAGGTTAAAGAAACTAAACTTGCATTCTAGAAAGACGAAGAGTGCGGGAGATATGATAGAAGTATTCAAGTGGGTGAAAGGAATCAATAAAGGTGATATAGATAAAGTTCTTATAATATCCGAGCAGGATAGACTTGGAGCAACGGATTCAAGTTGGATAAGTTTAGGCTTAGGAGGGAGATAGGAAGGAACTGGTTTACAAATAGGGTGGTGGACGAGTGGAACAAGCTTAGCAACTTTGTAGTAAGTGCTGGAACGCTGGAAAGTTTCAAAGGGGGCTGGATAGATTCATGGATGATAGAGAGTGGTAGTAAATCTCGACAGGAGCTGCCATGCACAGGCCAACCGGCCTATTGCAGACTCCTTATTTTCTTATGTTCTTCCCTCCGACTCACACTAGGGATCCCATTATTCTTCAACGAACGGAAATAAGTTTGTCTCGTACGTGGAAGCACGTTTAGTCCTGGTAGTAAGAGGTCGATATAATCATTATTAGTAAACTTTGTCCATAGTGTTTGTCCGAAACTGTTTATTTTCCACGTTGATGCATCACAAGTCGATGATTTGAGGGACAGGTAAAAGTTTAAGGATATCTTAAAAGGGAATTAAGTTAAACCAGCTTTTATTTTTGTTCTTTCGTTCACTTCCACTGACAGACATAGCTATGGCATGTATACCCGTTGCATGAGCTTATTGTGTTCAGAAAAAGAAAATGAAAAAGCATCGGTGGATGAAAGAGTGATACAGGAAGAGACATCACTATAGCCATGGAAAGTTGTTAAAGGATATGAGAGTCAGTGAACCACAGGATTTCAAAAATGTTATGTGTGCATAATACATTTGATGATTTACCTCAATAATTTCCAAAAAACACTGCCATTCGATGTCATCCGAATTCACTTTCCACAGTGCAGGTAAATCCCTATAATCTAATGCATTCCACTAGTAATCTCCGTTCATTGTCCTTGTGGCAGACACGTTGCTGCGGCGAAAGTAGCAGAAACACAGCCGGGTTATTGCGCAATATTGCACTCACATGAGACAGAAGTACACGCATTGGGCCATAAAAATCAAACCGATTTTGATTCCTTCAATATATTGTGTTAGTCTTCAATACTGACCCTTAACGATGAATATCATTGCGCAAAATGGGTTTTTGCGCAATAATATTGGTCGTTTAGGGCCGCATTTAATAACTATACTGGTACGTCACGTTAAAGAATATTGTCTTTATTTACGTACAAAAAACATATTTCAAATTCTTCTGTTGTTGTTCACATTAGTTTGCAAAAAAAAAATTAGGCCTATTTTACCTGAGCCATTTTAAAATTGTATTAAAAACTTTTTCTACATCTTATTCCATCATTCTGCTCCTCCTTCCCTGACATCGCTAACTGTCCCTCAGATATAACCATAGCCTTGGCTAAGGTATTCTTGTACTCACAATTCACCAGAAAATTTCTCATTTTTTTCTAACTCTATTTTCGATTATACGTTCATGTAAGTTTACAGTACAGTGATAATGGAGGACTCGCCCACTGTGTGATGAGCAAATATTATGAACATACCGTATGATAAGAATAAACTCCACGTGATGTTTCAGTTGTTTTGTAGTCAGTGTCCCAGGAGAGTCCAGCTGATCCTCAACAGCACAGTCCTTTATGATGTGTGAATGTCTGTGAGTTCTGCTGAACAGAACATTCTCCTCTACTTCAGGTTCTCTTCTGGGAAGTATCCTCCCTCAGGACTGTTATCATGTAAGTAATGTTTTCCTCTGAATAAAGTTCTGTTAGGAAGGTTCTCTTATAAGGAAGGTTCTCCTTTAGGAAGGTTTTGCTCTGAGAAAGGTTCTTTTCTCAAAGGCTCTACTCTAATGAAGGTTCATCTTTACAAGAGTTCTTCTCTATGGAAGGTTCTCTTCTAAAGAAAGTTTTTACTAGGGAGGTTCTTTAAGAAAGGTTCTTCTAGAAAGAATTCACTTTTAAGGAAGTTTCTCTGAAAAAATTTTCCTGTTTGGAAGGTTATCTCTAAAAACGATAATCAACTAAGGGAGCTCTCTAAGTTTGGTTTTCTTCAAAGGAATTTTTTTTCTCTGGCAACGTTTTTTCCCCGAGAAGGTTCTTCGGTTCACCTCGTAGAATATTATATTCTACGTAGTCGTCTTGTCTATGAAGGTTTTCCTCTTGAAAGGTTCTCTTTTAAGGTTTTCTTTTGAGAAGGTTACCCCCTCCCAAGGACTGGTCCCCTCTAGTGAAGACTCTCTTCAAATGGAAGTTTTCCTACAGAATCTATGGAAGTTTCTCATTAAAGGAAGGTTTCCTCTAAGAATGGTTTCACTCTAAGGATTTGCTCCCCTAGAAATGTTCTCCTATAAGCAAAGATATCATCTGGGAGGATTCTCAAATATAGACAGTTCTCCCCTGCAGGAGACACTCTTATTGTTAGGTTACCTACTTGTCAAGTTCTCCTGTTATAAGGTTTTCTTTTTGTAAGGTTCAACTCTGGGAAGGTTTTCCTCCTATAAGGTTCTTTTCTTGTAAGGTTCTAATTTAAGGTTACCTAACCAACTTAGAGTAGGTTAGGTTAGGTAAGGTTAGGTTTTGCCTTTTCATCTTATTTGTATATTGAAGTCCGCGCATATACCGTAGTTCATTTTATAATCTTTATGATAATTATCAATTCAGCAATTAGAGAAAAAAAGGGAAAAGGTCTTTTATTCACAGTATAAAATTGTTTGAACTTGACTTTTCACAGGGTGGCGAAAAGCTACTGTTCGTTTAATTGTTTCCAGTATGCGAGCGTGGGCTGTCGCACCTCACTAATGTGACCAATGAGGCACGCCTCCGTACCAAGAACACCAGCCAATCGGACACGCGCGATGACTCCTTTCCACCAATCACGACCCATCCCGATCGGGTCGTGCGTAGGCTGGAAGTCAATGCCAAAGTATCGTGAATTACGAAAAAAAATGTATTCTGCTTAATTGAGTCTTTATTCCATTCTTTATTTATATCGAAGTTATCTTTAAGTTGTATTACTTGGCTTATATGTATATATGCATAACAACTTTGAATTCCATCGAACAGATATATACAAAGAAGAATGCGGAAGACTATGCATTCCCGAAGTGACCAATGATGAGTGAAACATCGGGAGTGTTGAGGCGCGCGTGGGTGGTAGCAGGAGGCCAGCACAAGACCTGGTGGGGCTATCACCACCAGTTCCAGAGCTTGTGGCCTGAACTCAAGCAAGCCGGTCAGGCGCACCAACCACCTGTTGCGTCGAGGCCTCGCCGCCGCCACCGACCCACTCTTGTGTCAACTCTTGTAGTGTCCTCCCCAGCATCCACCACAGCCGGAGTCTCTATCCACTCCTCGTCCTTTGGAAGAAGTCTACGAGTGTTAACAAAAGTAAGAATTTACAGCTTAGTATTTTTAAAGTTGTATAATAGTTGATTAGCTCTGAAGAGTTGTGTCATACTTGGGTATTTTATTCTGGATAACGCCAGACGACTTTATTCAGCTGAAAGAAACCCGTTCATTTACTGGATTAATGCTGTAAATGTGTATTATATCAATTGTATCACTTAAGTGGTTAGAGTCAATGTTATACATGGGTGTTTCCTTTGCTTTCAGAGGTCATAAACACTGCCTCTTACACACGGAGAAACTCGAAATATCTTGACGTGCGGAACAGTATGAAAGAGGAAATAAAGTGTTTCTGAGAGAGGGGAAGTTGCTTCCTGAAGGAGGCATGAGTGCGTCCGGCAAAGGTTTTCTTGGCTTATGGCTGTACAAGACCGGGGAGGAATGGATGCTGAAGGATCCACTAAGAGTAAGTACTGTATTACCTCGTGTTTCCATACGATAAGAGAGGTCAATTATGACTCTATTTCCGCAATATGATTCTTATGATAGAGTCTTCGCCATATAATTTATCATTACAAGTTTTAAGCAATTGCGTTGGCAGTGAACAAACTTTCTTTTAAGAAGAATATATCAACAACAGACAAATAAGTTCCTTGACTGTATCACATGAGAGAAAACGGAAACCAAAAACCCAGATAGAGATGAGACCAGGAAATATGGAGGAACAATGGGCAGGGGACTGGTGTAGTGATATAGGCTGGTGATCATATATATATATGTATATAAAGAGAACATTAAAGAATTGGTGTCCCCGGAGAGGAGATCCACTACATATATCACATGACCCGCTGGTGGGTTACTCCAGCAGGTTTCTTTAAGCCTTCGAGGGTGTGTGAGAGTTAAATTTAAATGTAATTGTATATCTTTCTTTTTTTATGGGAGAAGTAGAAAAATATTACTTATTTTAGATAAAGAAATAATAATATAACAATAACTACTAAGAGCGAAATTGAGAGTAGTTATAAGAGTGTCCTAAGTGATTCATTGGCTACATCATCGTTGTCGTGTTGTTGTGGAAGTCTCGCGGTAGCCGGGTATTAAAGAGCGTTACCAAAGACACCATCTTGATACACTTATTGTCTTGTTTCTGACAAATGTAAACAATAATAGTTGTAAATCTTACGTAACAAAATTCTTATCGCTGTGAATAAATTGTTTGTAATTTATTGCTAAGTCGACGTTCCTGAACGAAATAAGATACATTAGTTGAATGTTACTTGTGATCTTAATGTTATCCTCGTGTCAGACACATTCAGAATATATTGTGTACACTGAGGCAAGGTGATTCGTTATGAGATTTTCTCACTGACATCACTGGTACAGGTTTACTTCTGTGAGGCGGTAAATACAGTTATCTATTGTTCCTCTTTGCATTTTATTTAATTTCGAAAATCCATCGCCGTCTTCCTTAATGCACCGACAATATTGTTAAAGGAAATTTTATTTAGAGTCCGTGTTCATCCATTAATCAGGCAGCCACGTCTGTACCTCCTCTCACAGGACGCGAGGACAATCCATCCTTGGAGGAGAAATAGTTTTCCCGCGATGTTCCTGAGCTGTCTATATATGCTACGAATGCCCCATATAACACACACGTTCTCTTAACTCCAGGAAGACTATAAGTGTAAACTAACAGAATGAATTACCAAAGATAACATGGGCACCTTTATAATACAAGGTTGTAGAGGTGGTGTGGGGCCAGGCATCCCACCCGGGGCTCTGGGGTAGTCCTGGGAGTGAATAATTGCTCAGCTGTGTTGCAGTAATTATCTTGCTCCCTCAGCCATAAATCCTCCTGCAAGAGATCGGAATCAGTTGTTCCTGAATTAAATCTGTCATCTTTATCAGTTCTATCGACATCAATGCAATAGTTACAGACCAGTTGTGCAGTCAGCCATATCGCTAAGTATTATTATAACATTGGTAATTATTTTCTCATCTACGTGTATTTATCTCACTCTCCCGAGACAACGATAATGTAAACTTTACTCGGGATACACCACATGAAGCTCACTAGATATCTACACTTTAACTCAACACACACATACAGTAAAGTGCTGATGACTTTTTCACGCCAATATTATTTATAACACACTTTACATGACAGATTATTAGCTTTACATGAATAACAATATTAATGTAAATTAACCAATTCAACTTATACATTTTCATCGTAAGATGTTCGTCTAGAAAATTTAGAAAGTAATATATAGGCCTACACTACAGTATATATTACGCTATATAGGGATAATTGCCGATAATCGTTAACGTCTGTATTTACTTTTAGGAAACTTTTGACCTTCCATAAACGTTCATGCAAAACAAAAATACATATAAATAAATAGTTTCATAAAAACCAAACCTAACCTAACCTAACCTAACCTTACTTAATGTAATCTAGATATAATTTTGTTAGCTTATGATAGTAAGCGACTCTTAAATGAAACAGAGCAAATTTTACCATATGCAAATTAATTTTGATTGAGTTATAGTAATAAACACCAAAAGTTATCCTTAAACTGTAAAAACTTCAGTAGCTCTCTAAAGGAGCAACGGCAATTATTCCTATTTAGTGTAACATATATTCTGAAACACTCAGTCTGGTGAATTATAAGATATTTTACCAACTACGTCTCTAAAGTAAGTTAGTCATCGTAACATAGTGAGCAGAAAATAGTTTGAATATACACTACTTGGTCTGGTGTTCGCTAAGTACTGTTGAGGACTTCACATGTTGAACTTTGACCTCACAATATTCTCGTTGTTGGTTATTCAAACTTTAGTGTATTTTTATATCGGGACATTTTTGGATATAAATTATTTTTTGTGATATGACTAATACGGTAAAAGGTTAATATTCGTTTAATGGCTGCGGCAAGATCTTAGGTTAGGTTAGGTGGGTGTGGTTGGTTAGGTTAGGTTAGGTGGGTGTGGTTGGTTAGGAGAACTTAATTATTAATACATGTTTGATAGAGGTTAGGTTAGTTTTGGTTAGATTAGGTTTCAACTGTGGTTTGGTAGTTGAATTCTAATAACAAAATGGAGCCACAACCATTAAACGAATATTTACCCGGTAAAGTTTACCTTAATACATTCTTGTCATGACACATCCTGTAATACATCGCACTGGGAGGCTCTGGTGTTGCAGTTTTCTGTCGGATATTCTAAGTTAGTACGTTACTACCGAGAGCCGGGACGTTCTTACAGTCAGACAAGAGGTAGTAATGGGCTCTCTGAAATGCCACTGAACGCAGCCAGTTACCTCCTCCAGTGCGGGTCTAATGCACGGGTCCTGTAACGCCATGATGGACGCGCGCCTCCTGACTCCTGCACAATGGATCAGTTGTCTACTGAGCCGGGACTCAGGGCATGTGAGGGCACGGATGTTGTTCATTGACTATTAACATTATCTTAACATGAAATATTCCTGAATACTTAACTGTCGTGCTGTTTGGGTCACTTATACTTTAGGTTTCTCGGTGCTTCAGCTAACAAACACTTCTGAATTGTCTTCTTCAGCCTCTCCCACACACAAGATTGACGTATACATATTTATTTTCTTCGATGTTTATTAAAAGCACAAGAACAGCCACCGTAACAGCAGGGAGGCTGTTAATAGAGATACAGTTTGTGTTGTAGTTAGACCTACTGTGAGACCTTGTAGACAGAGTGTAGCAACAATCTGAATTTGTTGCCATCTTGTTTCCTCCGAGGGAGATGGGTGATGTGGGGAGTCACACTGCTCGACGTGCGGCTCAGTGGAAATAAGATGACGTCAAATTCAGTATTGCAGAGCATTTCTTACATTATAATCAAAATAATGATGACTTCCCAAGTATCTTCCACTATTATAGGCAATCACCTGTTTCCCTCGGGAATATTACTCACCGTCATTTTCTATAGTGATAATTCCTAGATGAAGGAAGAGGAGGTAAGCAGCCTACTGTACGGCCATATAACTTATCCGACGCCAAGATGATGATGGTGTAAATTTTCAACCTAGACGACTGACTTTATTTTCACACACTCTCTTGTCTGACCTATTGCTACATCCAAATGCACAACTTCCTCTCATAATGTAGAGACAAATCACTCCACTATCCATCTAAAGCTGTGGTCAGATCGCAACTGACTTATGATCAGGTGGGCATGAAGGTGGACACAAAATGGCGTCCTGTGATCACGTGATGTTATTTTCCGGGACCTTCGATGACGTTACTCTCAGTAAATAGGGACTCTGGTTTGACCCACCTGATGGAAATCAGTGAAAACTTTCCCTGTGTGACATATAAACTTTTTACAAAGCGCGTAATGGAAACAAGCTAAGGTTAGGATTGGTCGTTGTTTGTATTTTCGTTTATGTGTCCACAGTAATATATTGTCAAGACCCAAAACTACTCTGGGCTCAACACTGATAGAGCTTTACATAAATGTTTCCAGGGTGATTTTTATTATTCGAGAACCCTAAATAACTCCCATTCACTAAAAAAAACCCCACATCAGTTAAGACGTGATATGATCCTAAGAATTATCAGATATGTGAGTAAAAGTTGTTCCCCGTAGATGATATTATAATGAAACATTAGTAAGGTTGAAATTTTGAATCTATTTACATTTATAATAGTTCTTAAATCGGGTAACTTCAGATATATACTGTATACGACGTCTTTATATAATCATTTTAATATCAGGAGAATATATGATGGTTTTGTTTCTTATTAACTGTGAACACATTTTAGCTAATGCTATGTTAGTACTTTATTATAGATTGTAGTTAAAGATATAAGGTATGAAAGAACAGAATACTCCCTAAGGTGATGGCTAATTAGGGAGCGACGCCAGGTATAGGTAATAGCACAGGGACGAGAAAGGTTGAGAAAGAGATGAAGAGAAGGGTATATGCGCCTCTGATCCACTGTACTGTGTCTTAACCTAACCTAACCTAACCAAACCTAACCTAACCCTACCAAACTGCCCTGATCCACTGTACTGTGTCTTAACCTAACCTAACCTAACCAAACTGCGCCTCTGATCCACTGTACTGTGTCTTAACCTAACCTAACCAAACCTAACCTAGCAACCAAACTAACCTAACCTAACCTAGCAAACCTAACCTAACCAAACCTAACCTAACCAAACCTAACTTATATATAACGAATGACCATTTCGAATGTGTCCCAGTCCTAAAGGTTAGATTTCGTTAGGTTAAGTTTGTTAGGGTTATGTTCGGTTGATTCAGGTTAGGTTAGCTAAGTTAAGTTTGGTTAGGTTAGGTTAAACTTGTGCCACAGTAGGACAAAGGCCTACTAGGATTGGAGCGTATTAAAATTGACCTGCAATTAAAAGGAAGGAGCCGATAGTAGGTAAGAAAAGCTGATAGAGCAGTAACAACGAAGCGGAGGCAGG